ATCATTATAAAAAAAAAACCTAATGAAAACAACATTTTTCTTTCTTTTATTTTCTTTTTTGCTATTGACCCTACAAACTAAAATAACTTCATCTCGTTTTAATGCATTAAAAACTTTTTTTTTTCATTTTTATTGGCGAATGATGGAATATACAATAGATATCCATTACTTTCTTCATGCTGTTCCCGTTTGCTTATTTTTTTGTTGTTTTTGTTTTCGTCTTTTTTCTTTTTTTTTTTTTTTTTTTTTTTTTTTTTTGCGGGGTAGGTAACGTGAAAGGACCGAAATCTTGGATGTTGCTCTGTTCTTTATTGGTCTGTCTTTGGGGGATTTGCTTCCGAGACTAGCATCATTAACCGAAATTTTAGCAGACAACCAACGCTGCTATCGAGAGACTCATAAAATAAAATTTATATTTGGCACTGGCATATGGCTTCCCGCCATAAGTTCTATGAAGCTGGAGATGAGGAACCAATTTGTTGACGAAGAAAGCAGTTTATGACCAGGTATGATTGGATGTCTGGGCAGAAGCCTGCAATTTTTATTAGGGAAATCCGTCGAAGACATATCCTAGCCATAACTTAGAAAAAAGGCTTTGAAACATCAAGAAAAAAAACTCCCTTGATTTGGGAGGATCTTATTTCTTAAGACCCAAACACATTTTTTAAACATTGGTAGTAAGTTATTTGATTTCTTAACTGAGGCATTTTAAGCACCACTTATCCTTAATAATGATAATACATAATTTTGGAATTGGAATCGTTTAAGAGTATTCTACAATAAGGGAGTAAACAAACAATATAGCGTGAAGATTTAGAGTAGAACGTCACTTCAGATTTGAGTCATTTTTTTTACTAAATTTCACCCAACATAAGGCTCAAGTGCCACTCATGGTAGAGGGTTACTGGATGAGGTATGTAACATGAATGTAAGCAAAGGTAGAAGGAAGAGATGATTACAAGAATGAGGAGGATAAATAGCGAATGACCCTTGATTTGAAGCGATTAAGATTCTAACACCCAAGCGAGAATTGGTTCCACAAAATGGCGCTTCTTGGTAAAAAGCTATCTCAGTGGAACTTCTTTGCAAGAGAAATATGGATGAAATGTGGGTGATTCGACTCAGTGGACACAACCTGACCTGTCCTAGTTATAAAGTCTAACCAAAAATCGGTTAAAGACGAACTTCCAGGATATAGAATGTAAGTTCATCAGGATCTATTTAATTCTGACAACAAGCAATTGACATTCACCTTTATCACTCGAAAAGTTCACCTGTCACAACTCTGACAGTAATAATAATAATAGTATTAATAATAATAGAAATTATTATTAATACTATTATTATTATTATTATTACTGTTATTGTTATTACTACTACTTCTACTACTACTGCTGCTACTACTACTATTATTATTACTGCTACTATTGCTACTACTACTATTATTATTACTATTAATATTATTAGTACTATTATTATTATTACCATTATTATTATTACTATTAATATTACTATTATTATTACTGTTATTATTACTATTACTATTATTATTATTAATATTACTATTATTATTACTGCTACTATTCCTACTACTTACTATTATTATTATTACTACTGCTACTACTACTGATATCATTATTACTATTATTACTATTATTACTGTTACTACTACTAAAGCTACTACTACTATTATTATTATTACTATTATTATTATTATTACTACTACTACTACTACTACAATCTAGTAAACAGACAATATGCCATAAAGATATGAATGCATATTAATCATAATAAAACACGATTGTGTTTTTCTTTGCAAACAGTTATTTTTCTTATTAGAAATGAAACGTTTTTTTTTCTATTTATAATAGTCACGTGTTAAATGCACCGACCTTTAAATGCATGTTATTTACACAAGTAAATTATGAACTGTTCTATTCATATTGAGGGCGTATCTGTCATGCCAGTACTTCAAGGTGCAGAATGCTTCTTGGTTTTTCGAGTAGAGGCCTAAATGAAGAGGTTTTGGCTGCTTCCAACTCTTGAGCACCTGACATAAGTCCATAAGGCAAGCAGGATTCCATAAGATGAAGTCCAGCAATCGTAGATGTTTGTTTTGGGGATTTCTTGATGAATATAGAAAAGCTTGGACCTACTTGAAACTAAAACCTCCGGGAATCGAAACGACATATCTGTCTGTAGGCGGGAAGCTCTAGATATAATTGCTTTTCTCTCTTTTGGCGCACTTAGCCAAATTATTAGACTAGATGACATGTGCTGTAAGCTTCTTAATCATCTGTCTTACGCTGATGGTTAAGATACATTACTAGGGAAGCTTTTTTTAGCTTAAGATTCTAAGGCTTTTAAAAAATCCCAAGCTTATAAATTACTTCATCCTAATACAAAACAATATCTCTTTATTTGCAAGTATGAAACTTTCAGTAGTTTTTATGGAAGCTGTTAATCTAAATAATTTAAAGTGCAAGTATTATCTTCTCGGAAAGCCACGTGTGTTAGAGGTAAAAGATGATGCCAACTGGAGAACACCTTTCATATCAATTCGTTAGTGGAGCTTGGGAGATAGCCGTTGGGGAAAAGAAGATAGAAAAATGCGTAGACCTTTTATTAATAAAAATGTATTAACGTATGACAATAATCTAAATGCCTTCTTTCATGTTTTACTTGTTTCAATTATAAGAAAATGGCATAATTTTAGAATTAAACAAAAAAAATGGTTTTGCACACTTAAAACAGGTTTTAAAAAGAATAAGCTTGAATATTTTTAATTACATTATATCAATATATAATATATTATAATATATTATATATTTTATATATATATATATATCATTTATTATAATTTATTTATTTATTATTGTTATTATTATTATTATTATTTATATTTATTATTTATATATTTTTATATATTATTATTATTTATAATAATAATATATTATTTATAAATATATATATACAGATTTAAACAGACATATCTATATTTTAACAGATTAAACTAAAAAGTTGCCAACGGAAGCAATATTTTACTTTACACCCGGCGTTGCCCGGAAATTAATTTATTATAAAAAGGTATAATCAAACACTTCATTTTATTTAGATAGATTATTAAAATGACTAAGAGAAGAAAAACGCATAATAATTTACTACCAATAGTTGATTTCCCTTCCTCATTACTATATTTTTTACCTGGTAATAAATATTTAATTTCTATGAGAAATGGTTTCTTTGACCATGTTATTGACCTTTCATTACCTTCAGGTTTGATTTAGGTCAATTTTACATAGCCAGCGACATTCTCTGGGTTATAACTCATCTTCAAGATAAGTTTGGTTTAAATTCATCCAGTAGTTCTACAGAAAGATGCTGAGGATACCATGGACCGAATATGTGAGCAACAACGAAGTTATAAAGAAAATGGAAACAAAAAGGAAACTATTACTTAACATCAGGAAAAACGGTTGAAATTTTTAGGGTACATAATAAGGATAGACGGCTTGGAAAATATGATACTCACAGGACATATTGAACGCAAGAGAGACAAAGGAAAACAGCTTATAATATACTTAGCGAGCTAGCGTAAATGAATGACGAAACAAGGTTTCGAAGCGACAACAAAAAGACAAAATTTATTAAAAGCTACGAAGGACAGGAAATTATAGAAATGTGGAAATTGTCTACGTTTTACATTTTATTTGTATAGATTAGTTTTAAATTTTCAAATCCAGGGCATTAATTCACTCTCATCGCGGTATTTTTTTTTTATTTAAGTTGAATTAAATTATCCAACTTTTCCTTTGAATGATTTCATTTTAGTAAAAAATAATTAAATCGTTAATTCGTGCTGTAATCATTTTGACAATCGTAGATACAAAACCAAATCAAAAAAAGCAATGACGCATCGTTAGAAAATATTCGTAAGACCAAATGTGAGCAAAATAGATTCAGGGCAACACAGATTTGGTTCTACAGAAAGATGTTGAGAATACCGTGGCTGGAACAGGTGAGCAACTAGTAAGTTTTACGGAAAAATGGAGGCAAAAAATACATATTAGAATCAGAAAGTGACTCTGGGATATATAATGAGGAAAGAGGGATTGGAGAATTTGACACTTGTAGGACATATCAAAAACAAAAGGAGACCGCGAAGAACCTACCTAACGAACTCGTATAAATGAATAGCGGAAGAAGGACTTGGAGGGATAGCGAAAAGACAAACACTCCAAAAAGAATCAAAGGATGGGAAGTTGTGGAGAGCTGTCATCACCTCTGTTTTGACGAGACACGGTAAATAGAAGAATAAACAGGCTGCAGCGATACTTTTCAAGAATCCGTTCTATGTTTGGCATGCCCGGTTGGATGATAATGTGTGATGAGATCACCTGAAAATTTAATTTTTTATATATATATATATATATATATAGAATCAGATGGCAAAATAAACGAATTGCTTTTAACGGTTTACTTCCATGTCTACAAACTCACCACTCAGTCGACCACAATAGAAGAAAGAAGAAACGAACTATTTCGACACACATTATTTCTAATCCCAGTTCTTTCTTTGAATGCAAGATATTGGCAAAAGGCAATGCATATCATCAGATATCTTATGGAAATTTGCATATGTGGAGACATTTTTAAAATGGCGTTTGGAAAGAAAAGATGGACACGCAAAGAAACTGCCTACGTGGCCGTCTCCTCTCTCTCTTTCTCTCTCTCTCTTTCTCTCTCCTCCACACACATATATATATATATATATATATATATATATATATATATATATATATATATATATATATATCTGTGTGTGTGTTTTGGGTTATAATGTTTTTTTAATCTTTTTTTTTCTCGCTTGGTTGGTTTGTTTCCTGTTGTTTTGGGCGAGATAGCCGGGTAGGCGAAGGTTTTTATCTACCGATAATCATGCTAGAAATCAACCCCTATAAAATAGTGGGTGGTCAAATTTTGGCCTGGGCTGTTGCAATTTAATGGTGCGTAACTTCCAGCTCATGGTCTCCAGGTGCGCGGGTAATGATCAGGGCCATAATCTTTGGCACCTCTCGGCTCAGCTTAAGTTGGACAACGTCTTCTTTATCCGTCTTTTTAGGAAATATTTCACTGAAGCCAATCCAACGATTTGGCGCCAGGGATATTCCCCACACCTTAACCCTTCCCTGACAATTTGGGTTCTGCTTGAAGGCTTCGATAAAATACAAAAAGCTAAAAATTTAGGGTTATTTAAATGCTGAGAAATGAAATTAAAACCGACAATTATTGAGCAGTTAGATATTTTTATGTAGATTTTTATTTTTGCTATCAATATTTTGCAATTTATTTTTTTTATTGTTGTTGCTTTAAATCTCATGTTGGCTATATTCTTCGAATGATCTAGGAAATAACGCAAAGAATCGAGATTAAAAATGTAGTTCCTTTTTTTATATAATGATGATCACCCTATACAAAGCCTAAAAACCCAATCGAGGTAGAAGGTTAGAGAGTAAGAGACACTACCCCAAGCAAGGTGATATTGCTACCAAGATGCCACGGGCCAGCCACAAGTGAAAGAGAATGAAATAATTTAGAGCAGCCTTTTTTAACCAGGGGCCCCTTTGAGCGCAAAACTGTCAAATTAAATTTTGAATATTATATTGAATTCATCTTTCTTAGCAAGATAACACTTAGGTATTAGTGCAAAAGTAATGTTAATACTGTTTTCATTTCTAATAGAAATGTCAATGATTAGAATCCTAAAAAAAAAAAAATAACTTTTTATTTGACAGCTTATCTCAATATTTTCAATGCGATGGTTGACTGGTGCTTATTGGCTAAGGCTCTTACTCTAGATTCCATACTTCTTGGAAGTAATCATAAATCACGTTTTGTAATTTGCAGGCAGTTTCTTTGTTTAGTAAGAAGCTCTGTAACTGCAATGAAACCACATTCAGTCATATTGAAAGTTGAAAAAGCAATGAAGAAATGTTTGATGGCTTTCCACAACACTTTCAAAAATTTTCTTTTGTAGCCAATATTGAATAATTTTTCAAAATCTGAAAATGATGGATACATGCCCACTGCCACCTGAGTATGTTCACAGCCCCCAAATGAAATAAAAAAAAACAGTGCCTCCTTTCAACATAACAGAGCCCACAAGGGGGGGGGGATATCGCCCACTTTTGGAAAGACTACTTTAGGGCGAACTGGAAACCAATCCTAAAGCGGAAACAAAGATTAAAAATGTTAGTCCTGTTAAAAAAAACGTGGAGGAGTGTGATGAATGTATGATAAATATTGGCATTAATCCTACTGAGGAAAAAATGTAGATAAATAGTAAATAAAAATTCAGAGTTTTAGGCGGAAATATTAAAATATATACATTTAAAGAATACTTTAGAAGGAACCGGAAACCCAATCCTAAAACAGGAAACAAGGGGTAACTTTTATTCCTGTTCAAAAGATCTGGGAGGAGTGTGAGCCGGGCCATAGTCAATCGTATCTACGGATGAGGAAAAACCTAGAGGTAGCAGAGATGTGGTTCTACAGAAGGATACTGAAAAGTCTATGGAAGGAGCGAGGAAGCAACAAGGGAGTTCTAAAGAAAATGGCAACAGTAAAAAACACTCAGGGTGTATGTGTAAAATTATGGATAAAATGAGTCAGAATCATTAAATACGGAACAAGTTGGGTGTGCAGGTGGCGTGAGGGATAGCGGTTCGCAATGAGGAATTGGTGATCCGAGTATGAATTCAGGTCGATTATGTTGCATTCAGTTTCGCACAATGGCAACAAAGACCCTCCAAACAGTATCTAACCCTGAAGAGCGCATACTATACCACTCTTGAAAGCATGATGTGGTTCAGAATGACACTAGGATCCAAACTGCGGAGGATGTATGGGATAATGTTTATAAAATAAACAGGTTTTGCTATTTAGCTTCATCAAAATAAATGTCAAAATATGTTGATATTTATTGAATCATATATATATATATATATATATATATATATATTATAAATTAATTGATTTAAAATATGGTTAATATATATATATATTATAAATTAATTGATTTAAAATATGTTTTTTTTCGCTACACAGTTCTAACCCTGTTTCCATTTTTGAAACATGGTTAGAACTGTGTAGCGAAAAAAAACCATATTTTAAATCAATTAATTTATAATATTAATGCTCTGTAAATTTACATTGAGCACTATTTTGTAAAAAAAAAAATATCTATAAGAACACCGGATTATATATCTTACTGTTCTTTCTTTCTTTTATATATATATATATATATATATATATATATATGAACTGGGATCAAATATGGATAAATATGGATTGGAATCCGGCAAAATAATAGAATAAGGAACAAATAGAAACCGTTTATAAATTTAACATTATGTTTATTATAAAACTTTTATGAATCTTAACATGTTAAATTTTAATATATATATATATATATATATATATATATATATATAGAGAGAGAGAGAGAGAGAGAGAAAGAGAGAGAGAGGAGAGAGAGAGAGAGTAGTGGTTTGGTCTAGTAGGAAATAATATCGGATAAAAAATTCTGAAATATATATATATATATATATATATATATATATATATATATATATATATATATATATATATATATATAGGTGACAATAAAGCCACTATACAGTTACTTCTTACAATAACAATTAAGACAAAGCAATTAATCAACTGTCCAAAAATGTAGTATTAAAATGGTTCTGGTTAATCCTGGTTAATAACAATAAAAATGCTAGGATAAATAATACTAAATTAATTACAGAAATTATTCGAACTACAGCCCATCTGATTCAATTCTTTGCTTTTTTTTATTAAAAAATTTATAGTGACTTTATTTCCACCGTGTATATATATATATATATATATATATATATATATATATATATATATATATATATATGTGTGTGTGTGTGTGTGTGTGTGTGCGTGCGTGTGCGCGGAGACAAAGAGTGTAAGATAGAGATAGGTATAATTAAATATATTTATAGATAAAGACTACTTCTCATAAAGTGATCCTCAGTAAATAAGTTGCATCGTCTACAATTATACTATTGATCTCTCTCTCCTCAGTCTCTCTCTCTCTCTCTCTCTATCTATATATATATATATATATATATATATATATATATATATATATATATATATATATATACATTACGTAAATTCTATGCATAATTTTTTAGTCTGTATATGTTTTTGCTTTATAGTGACGATCAATGGCTGTTTATTTGTTACAATAGCGAAGTCTTCCAATATGTTTACGAAGCTGGGTGAAGAGAAATCCGTTTCTGTTAAAGACCAGTGTACAAATATATTTAAATATTCACCTGTAAAAAAACTTCTAATAATAATAATAATAACAATGGAAACTTTGGTCTTTTATCATAATGAAACTTCTACATTCATTGAAAATGCAGCCAATGTTGCCTTCGGTTGAAATTTATAAAATCTTCCTATTAAAAAGATTCTTCAAGAAAATAAGTTTCTCAACTGCACTAAGTGTTATCGCTCTTTGTAATACTGATGGGAGATTTCTTTATAAACTTTTGTTTGAAGTCGTTGCTGTTGTGGAAAGTCCATATGTGATGTGGATTCTGTTATTTTTAACCATAAACCCGAGAAACGGTTGTATACAACAGACTGTTTACATATTTCTCAATGAATTTGACGCCATAACAAAATGGTAGTTTCAAATATGCTGTAATTTCTGACGAATTGAGTAAACTTGTGACTATATATATATACATACATATAGATAGATAGATAGATAGATAGATAGATAGATAGATAGATAGATAGATAGATAAAATGAGATCAAACGGAGTATAATTTCACTGTACGTAACATTTAAATTAAAAGTGGGCTCACTACACAGTATAGCTAAATATTATTTATTTGAGGATATTAAAGCAAAAAACACATTAAAAATCGCTATACAATTACAATTATGTTTCAACACTACAACTGTGTCGGGCGGTGCAAAACTACTGGCGAGTGAACGATTAATTTAATTGCCAATGCCGAATACTTCCTCTTCTTTCGAGAAAAAAAAATGAAAATAGGCTTGTGCACTTTGCTGTGATTAACTAATCGAATATGAGCTACGTTAAATGCAAACTCACCGAAAAAAAAATAAAATAGGTCATGACACGAAGTTGTCTGCATATAAATCCTAGACAATTTCCTTATGGACAGATGCAAATTGTTACATTATTTAGTAAGATTTTTTTGTTTTAATATCCCGAAATAAAATAAATATATATATATATATATATATATATATATATATATATATATATATATATATATATATGATTAATAAATCAACATAGTGCAGTTCCATGTATAAAACACTGATGTGTGAAAGCCTCAATAAGTATAAAATATATATTAATCTCTCTCTTTCTTGATAGATAGATAGATAGATGTTGTTATATCATTAAGTTCATATAATATTTTCCACAATAAATATTTATTTTTAGCATAGTTCCCTTCCATTTCAATGCACTTAATTCATATACAATAATATATATATATATATATATATATATATATATATATATATATAACCATGGGAAATAATTCAAGTAAATTGTTTTCTTTTGAAAAAAATTGAATATAATCAAATATATAAATATATATGTGAATACACACTGTGGCTACCTTCATATTTTTGAATAACTGATCAACCTACAAAGGTCAATTTTCTATAAATTTAACTGACGTTCTTTGCTTCCTCTTAGGGTGGAGACGTGTATAAGCAGCGTGTAGGTAGAATCTCTCACCTTTCGGCTACTCTTCCATGGCAATAAACTCTAAACCTGACCAGTAAATCCAAGTGCAACATTGTCTTCTAAAATTCGATAAATCTGCCATTTCCCCGAGGCCATTGGCAGAGATTCTGTCGCTTCGTTAACCCGGAGACATTAAGATGTCAAGCCGCCACTTCTGACTGTGAATTACAACAAGAAGAGGGTATAAATATTGGATTAGTCTCGCTGTTTTAGGTCTGTCAGGTGGGGCCAGGCCGTGGCTCATTCAGCGAGGGAACACTTTCCTCTTCACACCTGCCTGAAAATGGAAGTACAAATATAACACTCACCTTTCACGGGCGCACCAACATACAATTATTTTCGATAAAACTTCGTAGAATATGCTCGCATAGACACATACCTACCCACACACAGCTAGACAGATAAATAGATAATGGGATACTGAAAAGTTCTAAGCCCAACCAATATGCGAAATCTGACAAGTATCATATTTTATTTTTCTTGTTTTTTTATATTTGACAGCTTGTGGACGGCTCAATAACTTGTCAGCACCATTTTGCTTTAAACACATTGTTATTGTTAGTGATGATAGTTACGAATTGGGGATATAAAGATCAAGCAGGTACAGAAATTCAAATATTCAGGAAGCGTTTTAAATGTAAAATGTGACACCGAGATCCGAACACGTATTGGACTGGCGAAGGAAGTATTCCGAAAGTTATGCAATTTGCTGAGAAACGGAAACAGTTCGTTAGAAACAATAAAAACAAAGCGCTGAATTGTTTTATGATATCCATCCGACAGAAATGCAGTTTCTATAGAAGGATACTGCAAATTCTATGAACGGGGCTAGGAAGCAGCAAGAATATTCTAAAGAAAAGGGCAACATAAATAACACTTATATTCAGAATCAGGAAAAGAGCTGAAATTCCTTGATGCATAAAGAAGAAGGAGGGCTTGGAAAACTTAACCCTCAAAGGGCATATTGAGGGCAAGTCTTAAAATGGCAACAGAAAGAACACTTCTACTCAGAATCAGGAAAAGATAGCTGAAATTCCTTGGATACATAATGAGGAAGGAGGGCTTGGAAAACTTAACCCTCAAAGGGCATATTGAGGGCAAGTCTTAAAATGGCAACAGAAAGAACACTTCTACTCAAAATCAGGAAAAGATAGCTGAAATTCCTTGGACACATAATGAGGAAGGAGGGCTTGGAAAACTTAACCCTACGGGGCATATTAAAGGCAAAATATTGACAGATATAGGAAGGCAGTGAGCCACTTACTTGACAGGCTTGTGTGAATGAATGCTGTAACATTTGGTGATATAGGCCTTAGCAAAAGAAAAAAAAAACTGCTATGAGCTACACGAAATAGAATGTCGTGAAGTCTCACGGCACATAGAAGAAGAAGAAGAAGAAGAAGAAGAAGAAGAAGAAGAAGAAGAAGAAGAAGAAGAAGAAGAAGCATAGTGAATGCTTATTTAAAACGTGCAATAAATTTCGTCAATACTATGTAAAGCTTAAATAAACAAAACTATAAATACTTTAGCAACTACAATTTATTCTTTATGGTCAACTCGAGTAGCTAAGATATTTATATTTAATAAATATATGCATGTGTGTTGCTTAAAATTGCTATATTTAAAGGCGGGGAAGTGTTCAATATTGGAGATAGTGTGTTTATAGATATAGACAGTGGGAACATAACAATCAACATAGAGGCACTTCGACGTAGTGTAATGCTTAGTAAGTTTGTTTCGCTAAATTAATTATGACCGAATAGTGAGTTCGATCCTCACTGGGTGCGCCATACATTCGGCCTTGTGCGACATCTAAGCTGCGCTTAGAAAATCCTTGGGCGCTTCAACGTGATGCAATGGTTATCAAGTTTGTTTCGCTAGATCATTTACGACTGAAAAGTGAGTTCGATCCTCACTAAGAGCCTTGTGCCACATCTGAGCTACGCTTCGAATGTCAACATTGTGATTGTTAGTTTTACGACTAAATTCATATATTCAGACCAATTTTTACAAAACCATCGAAGGCTTCCCAGCAGTTTTCTTTACCCAATTCCACTCATAAGGCTTCGGTAAATCCATGGTGCATTATCAGGCATGTCCCAACGATACAGCATGCTGGAATCATGTCCAAAAGACAACATTATCAAGAAATCAGCTCCTTGACAAATCGACCCTGGTGACATTCGAACTTGATTCTTATGATAGGAACATCAATGCGCTAACCACTTGGCAACGCTCCCACATATTTTTAATTAGCTATTATCAGATAATATCAACATTGGTTGGTAAACAATAGTTTTATTATGAATGCATTGGCTTGAATAATATAATGTGACATATTGTAAGTTGATATTATACTTGAAGAATATAGGAAATTTGGTGTACTGCCAATCTCTTCACTTAGAAATGTCTACTTTCTTTTGGGGAAAAAAAAAAACAAGATTGGAATAAAGACAGAATGATACCGTTCTTCAGGAAGATGATTTTATAAAATGATCCAATTCTCCACTTATGATTCAGTTCCTGGAACGAACTGAAACTACATTTAGACTTCTTGGCCCCGTTCGAAATAGTTATTTGAAGCATTTCTAATAAAATAATACAGACCTATCCTCAATAACACATTTTTCTCGAAATGGGCCAAAACGTTTTCTCTGTGTTCGGAAACTAAGCAAAACCTCCACTACGAATGAAATTACTACTACCAAAAGTGCCTCTCACACAACAAGAGTATAGGAAAGAAAAAGTATAGTAACAATCTTCATTACCGCAAAAATTAACGTCTTCTTCAAAATGACTAAAGTATTAACGAAAAGAGCTCGGCACAATAGACACTATGATATTTTTCCTAATATATAGCCACCAGAAAAGATGAATTGTAAAAACGTCAGAAAGAATTATAAAAAAAACTTACAACGAAATAAGTGTAACATGTTTTCCAATCGACACAGTGAACCATCTTGGAGCAGACCTAGCATTTAATTCAATATAATTACTCCACTTCATCTCGAGAAGGTGCAATGAGTCACTTCCCTGGAGGTTAGCAGCAGCAATGTTGATAGAGAAAAAATAGATCTCTAAAACAATTAAAAGAGGGAAGTTTCATTTTGGGGACGTTGAAATTAAGAAGACATCCCTTACCCCAGTTAACAACAGATTGTCATTTTTAAATCAGCTGCCAATTTGACCTTATCGAACTGATCAGGCCAACTATTAAGACAGTAGTAAATATATATGTCACCACCATAGAAACAAGTTGAGAACTGATAGCAACAGGAATGTCGTTGATGAAAATTAGGAACAATGTAGTCCCAAGGATAGAGCTCTGGGGGGGGGGATACACGTATTAAAGCAAAAAGATCTAAACGGGTGGCCATTCAAAACATCTTGTATTTCACGATTTGATAAGAAAGACTGAATCTTCTAAAAAACTAGTATGTCAAACCCTGGGAAACACCTTGGAGATAACCAAAGCAACAGCCTGATCTTTATCTTTAGCTTGACAGACTTTTTCAGAAATAACCGTTAATACATCAGCAGTTGAGAGAAGCGAAACCCATTATTTATCTGAAAGAAGACCTTACGAGGTGAGATTCTTAACCAATTCTAACTCTAATACTTTACCAAATAAGTGGTAGGCCGATAGTTTAACGGGGTTAGAAATTTCGCCAAAGTTCTTAATGTCTAGAGCTACAGAAAAGAATTTCCAACATGTAGGAAACTTGAAAAGTTAAAAAACGTTAATGAGCAGTCAAAACAACATTTAGTTGATCTTTCCATTGTCCTTGTGCATCTCGTACGTCAATTGATTTTGAAAAAGATACACACGGATGCAAGCGAGGAAGTGAATAGAATGGCCGTGCCGTGCAGTAATAATGATGATGGTGATTCATGGCCTGATGCTACACCACACATGACTCTCATGTTTTCTAATCTTAATTGATTGGAGGTGTTAACATCTGCATATTTTCTTTTTTTCTTTGGTGATTGAAATATCCATTCAGTACCACAGACTCGCTTGTCAGTAGATTGATCTGTTCATGAGCGAGAGTGGGTGTGCATCATAGCCGAGTGTTGACAGGAATGAATTTTATTTTAAAATTTGAATGATGAAGCATCCAAAGTGATTTGGAAGAACCTTCTAGGTACATGCTCAATTGGAGACCGTCTCAGTGGACTAAGTTCATCGAATTTTTTTTTAACGAATTTACCCCAAGCAAAGCGATAATGCCACTAAGCCACAAGGGGCTACTTGGAGAGAAAGACAATAAGAAGATTTTAGAAGGAACCGAAACACAATACTAAAGCGGAAACAATAGATAAACCCCTACCCCTGTCCAAAATAACCGGACGATTGGCAAACCTGTCTACTCCTATTGAGGAATAAAATAAAATAAATTTAAAAAAGAAACTTAAAATAAATAACTGAAGGTATTATAACTGAACCCTACCTATCACTATATCGGACATATTTGACTGTTTCTTTGGTGACGTACTGCTTCCACGTTAGTCACATATTCAGTCCACGGTATTCTCACCATCCTCCTGTAGAACCACATTTCTATTGACTCAAGTCTCTTCTTCATCTGTGATCAGATTGTCTAAGAGATCTAATACTACATAACAGTCCAGTACTAAGTTTTACTATGGATGAATTCTTTTTTTAATTAAATAAAACGAGTTACTTTTAAAATATATATGATGGAATTTTAATTGAATTTTTTTTATTATTATTTTTTTCTGCAAATTAATGTTCTTGTAGGCAGTATTGTATTTATAAACGGGTAAAGAAAAGATTACAAAACTGTTATGTAATATCAGTCCACCTAAATGGGAGCGAATGCTGGATAATCTCCTCACAAATGAAGAAAAGGCTTGAAATGATATAGATGCGATTCTACAGAAGGATGCTGAGAATGTCATCAACCGAGCAACGACGAAGAAAATGAAAACAAAAAGCACACATCAGGAAGAGACAGTTGACAATTCTAGGGCACATAACGAGTCTTGGAAAATTTGAAACGCAAGGGAAAGAGGGCTTGGAAAGTCAGATACTCACAGGACAGATTGAAGTCAAGGATAAGAGGAAAACAAAGCATAACCTACCAAGAGATTTTGTGTAAATGGATGGAGGAGCAAGGTTTAAGAGTGATAACAAAAATACAAAATTTATTAAGAGCTACAAAGAACAGGAAATTGTGAAGAGCCATAATCGCCAACGTCCTGAAGAGACACGACACATAGAAGAAGAAGAATGAGCTTGTGTAAATAATAAAAGAAACAACATTTATTAAGCTCTACAAAGGACGAGAAATTGTGGAGAGCCATGATCGCCTACATCCATTAAGCTCTACAAAAGACAAGAAATTGTGGAGAACCATGATCGCCTACATCCTGAAGTGACATGGTACATAGAAGAACGAGCTTGTGTAAATGGTTGACAGAATAGGATTTAGGAGAGATAACAAAAAGACAACATTTATTAAGAGTTATAAGGGGTAGGAAATTGTGGATAGCCATGATCGCCCACGTCCTGAAGGAACACGGTATATAGAATTAGAAATAGTCAAATTGTACGTTGGTATTTCTTCTTTTCTTTTTATGTGCCGTGTCCCTTCAGGACTTGGACGATCACGGCTCTCCACTTCTCCCTATCCCTCATAGCTCTCAATAAGTTTCGTCTGTCTGCCAACTCCTCCAGACCACGTTCTTTCATCCACTTGCTTAAGCCCGCCAAGTATGTCATGCGTTGATTTCCCTTGTCTCTCTTCCCCTCTATTCGACCTGTGAGTATCAGATTCTCCAGGCCTTCCTTCCTCATTACGTGTCCCAGAAATTTCAGCTGCCTCTTCCCGGTGCTTTCTTTCTTGTTTGCATTCTCTCCAAAACTTGATCGTTGGTCACGCGCTTCGTCTATGATATCCTCAGCATCCTTCTGTAGAACCACATCTCCGCTGCCTCGAGTCTCCTCTTCATCTTTGAGGAGACCGTCCAAGATTCGCTGCCGTAAACGAGGACAGATGTCACGTAGCAACTCAGTATTCTTTTATTTGTCACCAAAGAATTCCTCCTGTCTTGTAATACTCTACCCAGCTTTTGGAATGCATCCTTAGCCATCCCAATCCGTCTATGGATCTCAGCGTCGCACTTACCGTCCTCCGTCAAAACACTTCCCAGATATTTAAACTTCCGCACCTGCTTGATTTTAGTGTCTCCGACCTACAAATCGTATTTAGGGCTCATCCTTTTACTGATGAACATGCATTCTGTCTTCTTGTAGTTTATGCTTAGTCCTTTCTTCTCGCTTTCCTTCGCTACCTTCTGTAGAAGGTTTTGTAATTTCTTTTCCGTGTTTTCTATCAATACTGTGTCATCTGCGTATCATATGTTATTAAGATTGTGGCCGCCAATGATGAATCCTGGTATGATTTGCAATTCTCTCAGAATTGCCTCGCTTTATAGGTTGAATAAGTCCGGTGAGAAGAGACATCCTTGCCTTACGCCCCTTCATATTTTTGTATATCCGCTAAACTCATTCTCTATGTGCATGCAGACAGTTAGCTGCCAGTTTACGTTCTTGATTATTCTAATATCTTCCCCAAATATATCAAGGTTGCTTAGCAGTTCCAACAGATCCTTGTGGCGTACTTTGTCGAAGGCCTTTGCGTAGTCTATAAGACATAGGTACACGTCCTTCTGCATCTGTATTGCTCTTTCTGATAACATTCTGAGCATGAATATCGCGTTCCTTGTTCCGGTGTCTTTAACGAATACGTTGATATTTACTAAATTTAAATAATTAAAGCACAAAGATAAATATATGTGGAGAAGGAGGGAAGATTATATTAGGCATGTTATCAAACTGGTTGGGATTTCCTACTTTAAAAATTAGCGTTGTCAAACTCAGCTTTTACTAGATTATTTTTCTAAAGTTGGTAGTAAAAATGCACACATCTAACCTTCCATTCGCTGGGCAATGTTTTTTGTTTTGTTTATTTTATTTTATTTTTTTTTTTTTTTTTTTGACAGTTATGAGATAAGACTATAAAAACTGAAAACTTGATAAGATTCAAAGTGATTAAAGCAGATTTTACACTGTTTTATAGTTTTAAGCTATAGAAAAAACGAAAAGAAAAGCGGGAGAAAGGAAAGTGAGGTAGGGTGACAAAAGGGTGGAAAGCTAGAGGATAAGTCAGAAAGCTAGAGAAAATAAACGAGAAAATGCGGGAGAGAGGAAACTGAGGTACGGAGACAAAACGGCGAAAAGCTAGACGATAAATAAAGAAAGCTATAGAACAAACGAAAAGAAAAGCGGGAGAAAAGGAAAGTGAGGTAGGGAGACAAAAGGGTGGAAAGCTAGAGGATAAGAAAGAAAGCTAGAGAAAATAAACGAAAAAAAAAAGGGAGAGAGGAAACTGAGGTACGGAGACAAAACGGCGAAAAGCTAGACGATAAATAAGAAAGCTATAGAACAAACGAAAAGAAAAGCGGGAGAAAGGAAAGTGAGGTAGGGAGACAAAAGGGTGGAAAGCTAGAGGATAAGAAAGAAAGCTAGAGAAAATAAACGAGAAAAAAAACGGGAGGGAGGAAACTGAGGTACGGAGACAAAACGGCGGAAAGCTAGTCGATAAATAAGAAAGCTATAGAACAGACGAAAAGAAAAGCGGGAGAAAGGAAAGTGAGGTAGGGAGACAAAAGGGTGGAAAGCTAGAGGATAAGAAAGAAAGCTAGAGAAAATAAACGAGAAAAAAAGCGGGGGAGAGGAAACTGAGGTACGGAGACAAAACGGCGAAAAGCTAGACGATAAATAAGAAAGCTATAGAACAAACGAAAAGAAAAGCGGGAGAAAGGAAAGTGAGGTAGGGAGACAAAAGGGTGGAAACTGAGAGGATAAGTAAGAAAGCTAGAGGTAAACCAAAATGGGAGAAAGGAAGAAAGATCAAGATATAGTGAAGAAAGAAAGGAATGCCAGATGATAAAAAAAGGAAAACGAAAACAATAAGTGAAATGAAAATGGTTAATGTATGGAGAGAAAAGAAAAGAAAGATAAATGGTCACTAATAAACCTAGAAGGAAATGAAAAGGTAGAATGGATGCAGACAAAGGAAAGACCTCGTCAAGTTTATTATTTTAAGCTTCATTACTCATTTGCATCTTTGATGCTTTCAAGTAAGAACCCTTATTTACTTTTTAAATTTAGGGTGTGATGCTTGTGACGTACGATCAAATCTTAGTGGAAACTTCGTTTTCTTTCTGATCTCTACGGCTTACTTGACGGTCGGGTGGCTTAGCTATCGATTCTGTAATCCGCGAAAATTAGACAAGTAAATGGTTTATCTTGTGCTATTTTTCTTGATTGATCTCCTTGAAACATCTAACGCAAGGATGGCCAACCTGTGGCGCATGCGCCATAAGTGGCGCATTGGATGCTTACAAATGGCGCATTGCATCCTTTTGATGAAAAGAAACTAAGCCACTTCTATTCGTTCATTTCAGTGATTTTATATTTATTGCACGTCCTTTGCGAAAGTGCTAAAACTTTGATTTGTGTTTGTCCCATTTCTTTTTGTTAAAAATGTTGATGTGGTCCTTTTGGTTTGCAAAATCTGAAGAAAAAAAATGTCAAAGCATTGATGCCCCCCCCCCTTTCAAAACTCCTGGATACGCCCCTGGTCATAAGCGTATATTTTTCAAATAAATAGATTTTATTATAACTTTAAAATATGTCCATATTACAACACGTACTAAAAGGAAGTGAATGTTTGTGTGGCACATTTAAATTAATCATACAAAATATTGGCGCATGGAATTAAAAGGTTGGCCACCCCTGATCTAACGGATCTCTCTCTCTCTCTCTCTCTCTCTCTATCTATCTATCTATCTATCTATCTATCTATCTCTCTTTTCCATTTACTACATTTGTATGAAACTTACTTCACCCCGACATTCTCGTGTCGTATACGCCGAGATATATGAGCGTCGTTTTTTTTTTCTATTCTTACAGTACCTGCGGAAGAAGTGTGCTATCTAAACAAGCCGGGTTCAAATTCCGGTCTAGACTCTTGTGCCCACTTTAGCAACAGTGAAAAGCATTTCACTTGGGGAGAGGCATAGATCTGTCTCTTCTCATTCCAGTTGTGGGTTGAATAAACCCATGGTAGTAACAAATCTGAAAGAAAAGTTAACTCTGAAATCCAATAGGCGTTTAAGACAATGAGCCACATTGACTCATGACTAGAGAAGATTAAGAGTTTTCTCGGTGATCATGGAACATTAATAGCATGATTTTAGAAATACTGAATGTTATAAGGCAGGTTTTCATTATTGAGCTATTAGAGCAAAATTAGATGATAGATCAGCTCCCAGACTCTAGTTATCTAGATTTTTGGAAGATCAGCTATCTATATCGTCTGCGTAGATATTAACTAAAGATCTGAGAATGTTCCTGGAAAGATCGTTAATATAAAGCAAAAAGAGGGTAGGAACGAAGAGAGAGTTTTGTGGGGACGTCTTGCATTGATTTTAAGGGCTTTCGAAAACTGTCATTAAGGACGGCATTCATGGACCTACCAGAGAGGAACAACTTGATAATTGCGAAGACTCTGCCAGTGATACCATGGCTGGAATGTGAGGCAACCTCCTATGCCACATTTTGTTAATTGCCTTTTGTATATCTAAGGATATCGCTCACGTGATGAGTTTATTATCGAATGCATCTGAATATACGACTGGACATAAGCAGTGGACCCAGCGGAGCGAAATCCATACTGTTTATCACTCAGGAATGTATTTCTATTGAACTACCTTTTTTGTCACTGCACTTAATTTTAGATAGTGAAAGGAATATTGTTGACATATTACATTTTGGGTGGCTGTATTCTAAGAAGTTGGCCACACAACATAGTCAAATACGTTTAATTTCAGGAATTCCTCATCACTGATGAGATCCTATTTTATAAGGACTCAAAATTGATTTTGGATAAATAAAATAAAAACATTTTTAATTGATAAAAAAAAATGGATATTGAATTAAGAAGAAAAACAAGAATATAAAAATAAAATAAAATCCCTCCCCGGTATTTTGAACTGGAGTAAAGTTTTGTCCCTTATTTCCAGTTTAGGATTTAGTTTCCGGTTCCTTCTATATTATAATCTAACTCTCTAACGTTTCCGGCTAAACTCTGAAATTTTATTTAATATTTTTTCTCTCTCCTCAATTGGAGGAGATATGTTCACCTATCGCCCGGTTCACACACCTCCACAGTTTCTTCCTTGTTCCATGTTTAGGATCCGGTTTCTGGTTCCTTCTAAAATCTTTTCATTCGCTTTCACACCTAGTAGTTTCTTGCGTCTTAGTGGCATTATCGCCTTGCTTGGAGCGAACTGATTAAAAAAACATATATTTCCTTAATCGATGTCAAAGTTGCTGAACATTTAGTAAAGTACATTTCTTTTTCTTTTTAGAAATGTCTCAAGGATACTGATCATCAAATGGTTATGATCAAAAATGAAATGAATGTATTGTGCGTTTAACTTTTAATTTTTAAAATTGAATACATAATTTCTGCTTTCTGATATTTTTTTAACATATACGAATCAATGTTGGATAGTTGTTGCGTTAAGAAAAAAAGTATTTTGCCAAGATTCACATATGATCTATTATACTAAAGTTTAACTAATGAGCGATAAAAAAAACCCCAATGAGTGACGTTTATTAGTGCCAGATTAAAATTCATCTATGAATTTACTGATCCATTCCAGAATATGCATGTTTCTGTGTAGAAAATTACGTAAATATAATTTTCATTATTTTGATAGAGAGATGTATTTATCTATTTATGATTTATATATATATATATATATATATATATATATAGTATACTAATAATTATACTCGGTTGGTAAAAAGGTCGAATGGCACAATTTGCCAGTATATCAAAACAAACTGGTATCCGAGGAAATATTGGGGGAAAAAAAAGAAATAACTTGAAACATCCGAACAGGAAAAAAAAAAATCGTCCAGTGACTTAAATTTCCAGTCCAAAGAAAAAAAAAACAAGCCAGTAACTAAGATAAAACGTAGAATGTTCAATACGCTAAGTAGAGTCAGGTTACCCTGAAGATCCATTCAGGCGAAACCTAAGTAGGTAGTTCCTGGGTCTTTAGGATCATATATATATATATATATATATATATATATATATATATATATATATATAAAGACAAAAGGAAAATTTAGCCAACTCGTTTCGTCCTCACGTACTTATCTGAATTGTTCGATCAGTGTGAATAAAATTTACGACTGAACAAAATGCCAAAAAATATATCTCATTGAAGATAAATTGATGTTCAAAAATGTAAACGCTATGTTAATCGTTAACTTCTGTCTTCTTAATATCTATTCTTTTATTGTCCTCTCTCCTTTATATTATAAAATGCTTTCTTTTTCTCATATTCTCTAACACTCAGTAACCCCTTGCATCTTAGTGACACACACACACACACACACACACACACACGCGCGCGCATATATATATATATATATATATATATATATATATATATATATATATATATATATATAGGAGATCAGTCAATCACTCTACCTTAGTTTCAACCTTTCGGTATCCTCAGGCGATATAGTCTAAATGATTTTCTAACATTTTATTTATATATGAAACCTAAACACAAAATTAAAATACGTGAATGCTGGATCTAACCCCCACCCGAGTATTATAAAACACATTCCTCAAGGAATAGAGTGTATGTTATCTAAAAATCCCTCTTGTAAAATAATTTTCGAAGATAAAAAGAAATAGTATGAAAAGACTTTAAAAGAAAAGGGGCATAAAACCAAACTAGAATTTAAACCCTAAATAAAACAGCAAATGAAGAATAATTCGGGGAAATGAAAAATATTATTTGGTTTAATCCCCCCCACTTTTAATTTAGAGGTCATATATAAAATAAGAAAATATTTTTCAAATTACTTAATAAACACTTCTGAATTACAAGAAAAACTTCCGAATTACACAAGATCTTTAATAAAAAAAATACAGTTAAATTAATGTACAGCTGTACTACTAATTTGGAAACTACAATAAAAAGACAAAACGCCAGGAATTTCAAAGCTAACGTACAGCAAAATAGCATTAACAGTGAAACATTTAACTGTAGAGATAAAGGTAAATGTCCGCTAGATGGAATTTACAAAACAGAAGAATTTACAAAGCCGAAATAAAAGATATAAATGGTCAGAGCAAAAAAAAAAAAAAGAAGGCAGCTTCAGGAAGAGATGATATCATCACAAGTCATTATTCAAGCTAGAAAGCCTTAGGAATTGTACCACACTATCCAGCCATGTGTATGAATTAAAACAAAAGAATAGCAAAGGTCCGATTGTAAACTGGAAAACCAAAGAGCCAAATCTCACAGCTATCGTAGTGATATCTGCAAACTGTGCCATAAGCAAAATTAACAATAATATTTACAACTCCAAAAATCTACTGAATGAAAGATCGGAAATAATCTCACGATGTATCCACACTAAAAAGTAATTTTTGAGTTCGTACAAACAAGGATGAAAGTTTGTACATTCTATTTACTCCCCCTCCAATATAATTTCAATAATCTTGCTTTACTCTTCCCCTTCTATTAAAATTCATGCTGTGCGTTTATATTTAAATAATAAAGCGTTAAGAAACAATTTAGCCTATATCGGCTGAGGAGACCAAAGATTGAAACTAAGGTAGCGTGATTAGTCGATTTATTAATTTTTAAATATATATATATATTTGTTTGTGTGTGTTAAATTTTCTTTTTCTTTATATGTGTATTGAGCACTTTTTAATACAACTGTTTCCTGGTCTAATTCAACTCTGACCAATAACTGTTTTATAATTGTTTATATATATATATATATATATATATATATATATATATATATATATATATATATATATATATAACAATTATAAATCAGTTAAATATATATATATTTAAATGTTATTATATTGAACAAGTTTCAAGTTTTTGAGTAATATAAATCTCTGATTAAAAATAAATCTATTAATTGATATATATACATACATATATATATATATATATATATATATATATATATATATATATATATATATATATACACATCCAGAATAACACGATTTAAAATACATTTTAAATATGAAAAAAAATTCTTGGAGCTTTTATTTTAGTTTTAATTTCAAGCTAATAAATGAAATTTAATATTTCCAATAAGCAAAATACTTTACTATATTTCAAACCGAATTTAAAATGATTGGCATAAATAAATCTATCGACACAACGTAATTCTCTTCATTGAAATATCTTTCAAAAACGAAATATCCATTTCTGCAACTTTACTTTAGGAAGATTAAGTGATTTAATGCTTAATTAATCTAGA